CTTCTGCCAGGTAATGCCCATTGCTAATGAGCAAATGGTCACTTGCAACAGGTTGGAAGAACCAGTAGGTACCCACTCAAAACTGGGCTGATGGCACGGGAGAAGGAATCCTCCCTCCACGGGACTCCAGGCTGAACAGAGCAGCCCTATGGCAGAAAAGGCTGGCTTGGTCTCTGTAACTCAGGAGAACAATAGCTTGTGGATCAGACTTTTGTATTTTACTGCTCTGCTCCTGTTCCAAATGGAAGCCAGACCTGACCCATGTGGATATGATCAATAGGCCAATATCCAAGTCATTTGCAATCTTAGTACAATACTCCTTCTATTTAAATGTTTAGCCATTTCATCCACACAAGTGGAAACCATCAAGTGATCTTTGCATTTTATTAAAAGCCATCTATCATCATTTCATTCATCATAAAATTCCCCATTGTATGGGAACAAGGAGCTCCACTTCCAGAAGCCCAAGCCACCTGCTCACAGCCTCTGCTTTTCGGGGAGTGGTTGTTTTTGATTTGGACACTTCATTGAAACCTGGCCTTTCTTGTCTCCAGCTAAAATACAATGGTGCAAGAAGAAGTCTGTCACTGAAATGTTATTAAAGAAACACCACTGGGAATTGTGCCATGGTCAACTTCCCAGATACCCTATTTGGGAAACATGGTTCTAATAATAAACTTGGGCCCAGCTAGCCATGTGTGTGATAGCTGCCAGATTTCTTCTCAGTAGTCACTGAGACAAAAAGAGACAACCCCAAATTAGTAAGTAATGAAGACACTAAAAAAGAACTGGTCATAAATAACTCCATTGGGCTGAGCACTCAGCAACTGTTTGCATTTCTATGGACAGAATAACAAAGAGAAGCAAGTTGGTAATAAAATATTTCAGCTTCAAAAGGGCAAACTGTCAAATTAAGGAAACTCACTAGCAGATTTACCTGGACTGAAGAGATGAAAGACTTGAATGTGGAGGAAGATTGGAATATATCTAGACCGAAGATATAAAAACTATTCCCATCAAGAAAAAAAATCTTACTGAGAGGTATTTTAGGCCTGAATAAGTGGAAAAAACTTCACTATAGAGTGGTTCTCATAAGTCAGAAATAGCAAATAATCCTGGTCAACAAAGATAGCTGTTGTGTAGAGATAGAGATGCATAGGATTAAGGACAGTTTTGTCAAAAGTCAAATGAGCTAGGACATGCAAAAGATGATTGAATGAAATCTTCAGGCATTCAGAGAAGAGGAGAACATGCCTTAGATGGTATTTTGCTAGTAGAGGCAGGGAAGCACTAACACAAGTGTACAAAACGCTCTCTGGTGCTTCCCCCAGAACACAGTATATGATTTATGCTCTCACACTTAAGAAAACAGTTCTGGAGAAGAAAACAGTTCTAGTGAAGGTGCAGAGAAGGGTTACACCGAGAATGGACAGTCTGTCATCTGAGAGCAGCTAAACAATGCTGGCAGGAGAACAAAAGGATACAAACTGGCTGTGAATTTAACAAATTTCTTGGCATAACAGAAACCTGCAGACTTGTTGGTACCCTTGTTCTGCTTTCTGCCCCTCTGTCTGTAGCATATTATTCCTTGGCTCTTTGGCCTTTTCTTACAAGCCTCAACTTCGTTGTAAAGCTCTGGAAAGGACCCTTGGCACAACATAAATTGGTAAAGCATGAAGGAAATGTTTTATGGACATTTTTGAACAAGAAACTCAACATGCAAAGTTGCATGGCTATGCCTCATAGAGTGGGATGCTTCCCGCATAATTGGCATCATTTGAAGCCCTGTGGCATCTCACCTCTCTCCTTCTTCCCTTAAAAAGCATGGAAGAGCTAAGTCAGAATGCCTACAAATACACACACAAAAAAGGAGGTTTTTGTAGCTGGACAGTGTTTGTAGCAACCCAGCTAAGAAAAGGCTGCAAACTCACATTTTCTCTTACAGAAATATCACCAGAAGTAAATAGCTTTCAGTTATATTACTCTCTCCCTGGCACAGCTGATGCTTGCATCATTACTTGTGCTTTTGAGCTGGTTGTTGAACTTGGTATGACCATGGGGAAATATTTTATCTCCAGCAAGCAGAAGTGAAGCCCAGCTATCACTGCAACAGAGGCAATGAAAGTCAGATGCTGCCCTTCAGTTATTCTTATATACATTTAGATTTCATGTCACTGAAATAACTTTTATTTAAATCAATATAGCTAAGAAAAGAATCCACCTCATTGCCTATTTTAACAACCTCTTTTTTTTCCTCCTAAAGACTCTTTGTGTATTTGTTTTTAGTTTTGTGTCTTTTCTTTTCTATTTTAGTAATTGGGAAGTTCAGTTTTCCAAAAGACCTTTTGAGTTTCTTGTGAATGTAACCAAACCAGAGCAGATTCTTGCCCTGCAAGCATATGGGAAGAAGGAAATGCTAATTAGAGAATTAAATTGCCTGTGACAAACAGCTTCACTTTGCCAGTTTATCCAGTTGTCCCAAGAGTTAGAGCAACTTGGGTAACACAATATATGGAATGGTCATAAGTCTCTACTTAAATCAACTCTAATGTACATACATAATAGTTATTTCAAAATAATTCTAATTAAATAAATGGCTCTGTTGAGGATTTCCCATTACTGTGCTTGGTAGGAGCTGTCAGGACGTATCCAACAGCAAACAATTTTGGTGGAGTGTTGCCAGTAAGTTTTGCTTAAACATATACTTAAAGCTGAACTGATAAACCAGACAATGCTTTATAAAGTGAACATCTACCTTCAGGTAACACAAAGATTGATCCAAAATCAACAGCAGAGTCCACATCCCACAGGTGGGCATGTTCTTGTAACTCCTCTCATGTTGAAGTGTCATGATCACGTGGAACAAACATGACAATTACTCCAGTACTATCGTGCCACTGTTGTTTACAGGCAATCACAATCAGTGATTTACAATAGAAAACAACAGAGAGATAATGACAGCAATTCGAGAGCAGAATCTGAATCATTGATGCTGCAAGTCAGAAGGTCCACTTTAATGGAAAGAAGGATCCCTTGACCTTTCCAGAAGAGGCAAATAGCACAGGATCAGGATGCTAACAGTTGCAGTAGTTTCATTTTTTTGACAGAAGCAGAAGTGGTCTTTGCAGAAATCATACCAAGGATTAAATACATATTTTAAGAAAGAAGAGGACTCATAAGACTACCTTTTTCAAGATAGAGCTTCTTCACATTTACTCTTTCCAATGTTTCCAGTTCTCTACTCCAACAGGCTGTTCTCCCAAAAGGGATTCATCCACTGCTGTGTCCTCTTGTGAACAGTGTTTCAGCATGTGTGGTAGGTAACACAGCTTGCTTTCTGAACAGATTTTCTTCCATCTAAAATGCCTGCAAAGTGGATGATTACTAAAACCTTCATACTAACTTATCACTTGTTAATAGAACTTACCTGATATTTTTAGAGTGCTCTCTTAAAATTTATGAAAATGTCTTTCAGTGTTAAGAAGCTTCTACAAAGTGAATGCAACAGAGTGGCACATCATGGCATTCAAAGCGGAAACTTTTTGCTTTCTATAAACAAAAAAGGTGATTTGTCTACCCTCTTCAAAACATGTTCAGTCATGTCTTGACCAAGACACCAAACTGCTGCTACATAAATGATGACATACATCTTGATTTTTCAGGTCTTCCAAAGACAGAGGAAGAAGACAAGACTATATGAAGGGAAAAAAAACATGACTTAAAAATTGTTGAAAAGGGTGGGGTTTTGACACTGCACAGTTTAGTTAAGTTTTCAACAAACATTACCTATGTTTTGACAATAACTTCTATGTCCAAAGTGTTTGAAAAAGGAGAGTTTGAGCCAATACTGCAGTTCAGTTCAGACAGATTGTGATCCAGATCAGTTTTCAATTACTGGGATCAGTGTGTCCTGTGGACAACTGTCAGATGACTCTGAAAGCATTTCAGAGCTTAGGAATAAGAAGATCAGGACAAGCTGTAGCTGTAAAACTAAGGAAGGGGATCAGTTTACTTTTAAGCCAGTACAGATGTGATGTCACTGGGAGACACTAAGAGGCAGAAATTCTGTGAGGAGGCTTGTATTAGCTGCATCTGACTGCAGCCAGTCACTGCTGGCAATGTTCCCTGGGATGTTCAGCTACTGTTATGCAGACTGCTTGCTTTTCCTCATCTACTATTAGAGTTGTTAGGGAACTTTTAAGGAATACATTTTAAATCAAAGTCAAGAGGCACTTTTCCCTTGGGATCCTGCTTGAACTCTTGCTGATTTACTCATTGAAATCTCAGAAGTTCAGCAGACAGACTTTGGGGAGTGCTTCTGTGCTGTCTTGGCCTACAGTCAACCCCCTTGTCAGATTTTTAATTTTTTTTTTTTCAAAGTCAGAAATATTAGGAACCCTACAGATCCTGGCAGCCCTCCAGGGAAGGAGTGTCCAGGATTTTCAGATTCCTTGCCCCAGTAGTCTAGAAATCAAAGAATCTCAGATGCTCCCCTCCCTCTCCTGCCATCCCACTACATGGACTGAAAAGGAACAAACAAGCCCCACCCTCTATGGCAAACTCAGGGGCTTTTGAAATTGGAAGTCTACATTTTCTTAATCTTCCCCCGTCCCAATGTGTTGAAATTAGCAAGCCAACATTTTTCAGATTGCTGTTCTGTGGAGAGCTTAGCAATTACCTTTCATTGGCAATTTGGAATGAAAACAGAATTGTTCATTTTCAGAGTCATCTGCAATGGCAATTGACTATTCTCCCTTCCTGCCTCTGGTTTGGGAAGTGTCAGAATTGTGTCTTTGGAAAGACAGACAGGCAAGTCTGAAGAAGAGATAATTAATAATTGTCTGCAGATACTGCAGTGGTTAGTTTGAAGAGGAAAAGCCTCTTATTAACTTAAAATTTTATTTTAAAAATATTCATTTCCAAAAATATTTGCCACAAAAATAGAAAATAGTTAAAGGAAAAAAAATATTCAAACTACACTGAGAAAACTGCATGTGGAGATTTGCAAAACTATATTTAGAATGACCACTGCCACAACTGTTTTCACCTTACTACTTTAGCACTTTTTTAGGGATCAGTTTTATTGAAAATGTGGAAGATTCAATGTTTGACTGTTGAGCTGATTAGACTGAGCAAAACCAGCTTTCCCTAAACAACAGGAGGGGAAAAGAATAAAACAACAATTAACCCATATCTTTGACTAGGAAGTAACTTCTTAAACTCAAATACCATAAACTGGAATTCAACAGAGACAGAATCAGATTAGTTACTTTATCAGCATCTTTAAGATGAAGCATATCTACAATCCTCAGAGACAACAGAGAGACAGCCAAGCTGTCTGGGCAAACAAAATGCAGGGTTTGACCATTCTGGTATTTGTCTGTGGTGTGGTCTGAAACAATTCTACTCCCACACGTGTTTAAATACTATACTACGAACTTTAAGCAACCCTTATTTTTGTAAAGCAAAAAAATTAAGGATGAAAGATCTCCACTTTGACGTTTGATTAGTATATTTGATAATTATGCCTGCCAAAAAGGAACAGAAAATGCAATTAACAGTGTAAAAAAAAGAGAAATAAACAATGATTAGTATCCAGTCAATGGACTTTTCTTTGCAGCGTCTTGGTTCAAAATTGATTTAAGTTGGCTCATATGAATGGAATCACTAAAAAACAAACAACGACAAACCCCCCCAAAAAACAAGGGAGGCAAGCTCAGTATTTAGTTAGAGTTTTGCTCAAAAATGGGCCTTGACTGTTTATAATACTGAAATATTTGCAGAGGTAGGTCACTTGGGATAACATGAGAAATGTTTTGTGGTGTGCAAGTAGGCATGGGTACTGTTGGAGTGGTGAAGTGTCAAGTACCAAGAGGGAGTTCCCCAGTGAAAATTGGAAACAGGAAAGGACATGACTCATTTTCAAGAGCTGCCAAACAATTGTAGAAAGCATTGCTGGGGTGACCTATCAAGTATTTGTCACACTTCCTTAAAGTCCTGAGAAGGAAATAACTGAAAGACATTGTTAATGTAAGTGGCTACAAAACCAGTCCAAGTTTTCACTGTTTGAGTTACTCAATGAGTGTTAAGTTGCACTAATGATTCCTACAAATGAAAACACCTTCAGGAAACAAGAGTGGTATGGTCTGTGACACTTGACCCAGCTGGCTGCTAATGTCATAGTAAGAGTCTATAAACACCATCTCCATAACACCAGCAGCTTTTAGAGTGCTTCTTATCAGGTGTTCCCACACACACCTCAAGAGAGGAAAAACTGCAATGAACTGAAAAGAAAAAAATAAAAAAAGAGAGAGAGTGAGTTTGTTTCTCTGTTGTAGCCTTGGTGCAGTGGCCAGCACAGCTTCACAGCCCAGGTATTTCTGTTTGAGCTTGGATCTCCCAGTAACATCTACAGCAGAGGACTGAATGGCCAAAGTTTAAAGGAACTAACAGAGGCAAAACTGCTGTTAAATCTGAAACTTAGTAGTCTGGCTATTAACATTCTCCCTTCACCCATGGAATGCAAGCTCTGAAGTGGCCACAGTAAGTGGCCACCTTTAAGAAAGAGTTAAGCTATCTAGAAAAGCCTTAAACTCTTCTTGATCTACCTCCTCTACTGGATCATACTTTAGCGCTCTGTAATGAAACCACAAGACACAATCATGGGACACAGTCAACTACACACTTAAGGAACCACACACATACACCCAGTATTCCCTCTCCTCCCTTCATTATAGCCATTTTGAGTTTTAAATCAAATCTCTTGGTTAAGGTTCAGCTGGTATGCCACAAATTTCTTAGCAGTTGAAGATAAAACCAACAGAGAAGTCTAGTAAAGTTATTCCACAAATTTCCACAAATTAAGAGCTACATTCATGATGTACCAGTTTGTTCAAATCTGTGATTTCTGTATTTACTCATCCATGAGATGCAATCTACCTCTTGTCCTGGGTGACTGTTTTCTACATGGATGCCCTTTCAGTAGTCTTGTTCTCTTCCGTATCTTCTTGCTACGCTCCCTCCTTTCTGTTTTGCCCTAAAGCATGTCCATTCCCATGCTTTAGTTTTTCTTCTCAAGCATCTTATCCTTTAGTATCATCTTTTTTTTTTTTCTCCCTATGAAAAGAATAACACACATACAAAAGGCTTCCCTCCCTCCTCAGTCCTCCTTTCACCACACATGTCCCTGATTTCTGTCCAGATCTTCAGCCACTTGGAAAGAGATTCCTCTGATCCCAGGATCTGCCCTCCAAAGCCCTTTGATACAAGAGAAAAATATGCTAAAGAATTCTGAAAATGCTTTTGTTGTATGGTGTAGAATCTGTGAGCTTGATCTAAATCACTGGAAGTCTCTTGAAAGCCACTGAAACACTCAGTCCTCAAGTGGACTAAGTGTTAGGCTTTACAAAGAGGAACAAAATAAGATACAAAGGTACAAAGTATAAAGTTCGCAATACATCTTTAAAGAATATTTCACCTGGGCTGAAAAATGGGAAATTAGTCAACAATGAAGCCCTTGACAGTAATCACAAACAGGAATTTCACCCAATGCTCCTGTGAGGACCTTGATGAATGTGCCTTGTAATTAAATGAAAGCATAAGCTGGCAGCTGAGGAGGGGTGCCTACATTAGCATTCCTGTTAAAATCAGGAAGGTGCTTTTCAGACAGCGTCCCAATAGCTCCCACATTCAGCACTTTGGTTCATGGTACAGAATGGCCCCAGAGCACATGGACTGAATTTCTTTTGGACAAAAAAGAAATGGGAAGACATTCTTGATGAGCTCAACCTGGATACTTCAGCTGCTAAAGGGCAGTCAGCCGATGGGACCTGACCAGAGCCAGTCCAAATTAACTACCTTAAAAAAGCAGATAGTGTAAACACTCAGTCTTCAGCACTGTTTGGCTCCACAAATCCATTCCCACTGTGCTGTGCTACTCATTAACACAGACTTAGCCATAGTCACCTTGAGATAAGACAGATCTATATATGCACAAGTATGCAAGTACTATATTACTGTACCATGCTCTTGTTTTTCTTACCAGATAAAACTTCCTATTGATTTCATAAGGATTTCTTTTTCTCTGCTTTGTAGGCTTTCTTGTAAAACTGTGGGGACAAATGCCCTTTTCTGAGTTAATGTGTGAACAGAGGGCAGCATTAAAATAAGGCTTTTAGCATTCTAACATAATTATCACATGCAAGTTTGAAAAACATGGTTAAATATCACATAAGAAAATCCTCTAGAGAAAATCCTCTATATCTTTCTCAGATGGCTTTTAGCTTTATTCCTGCAGTGTCCTGTAATACCACTTGGAGCACTTCTAGTCAATGGAACAAAAGTACCCATAAGTCCTTTTAGCCACAGAATACTTCCAAAGATACTTCGCCATTATGAAATACTTCATAATAACTTTAGATATTCTACTGTAGACATGTAGTAAGTCAGGAAGATTCCCAGCTCCTGAATCAGTGGATCGAACACATCTCCTCTAACTATAACATTTCAAGTCTTATAAAAAGTACCAAACACAGCAACAGGCAGCCACAATGGTCCTGGAAAAAAAAACAAAACAGGAGAAAAACGTACCTTTAGGCAACGAGCTGTTCCCAAAGCCAATGACTGAGAAAGAGATCTGTCTTTGCACAATTGTTCTAATCCATTGTTGTTTTTTCTGCCATTCTTTCCATTTTGATCAGTGTAGCTTTTGTCATTGACTGAATGGGAAAAGATTAATTCTTTATGCATTTATTTACCTTCAGAATCTCAACAATGATCCTCATGCCAAGATTTGTGTCTATCCACTCACTCTCTTTACTCTGACTAGGTTGTACTGATTTAGCTAAACTGACAATCTGAAATTAAATTAACAACAGATAATGGACTGAATTATCTTCAGCTGTTTATGACTTAGGATAATGCCCACAAATGGTACCTGCATTGACTAAAATAATTTGATTGAGTCAAACCAATGCAACTCCTTGATCATCTTCCTCCTGGTTTTTCAATCCTGTATTATTTAAGAAGGGCCACGACATAGGATTTTTCCTGGAAAAATGAAGCTAAAACAATTCTCTAAGAAGACTTTTCTAATGAGACAGCATGTGGTGATAATCCGGAAAAGATTATGACAAGGAGGAATGAACAGAGATAGAAGGCATAAAAACTGTTATACTTAAAGCCTAACTGTTTGAGAAAGCCTGCTTTTGTGTGATTTCATTAACTGTGAACTTGCTTCACTGTCAACCAGAGGGCTGGAGAAAATATTTAATGAGGTTTCCTTCAGATCTAGGCACTCTCCAGTCTGTCTGCATCAATAAAAACTGAATAATGGCAGAGCTAGAAGATGGACAACTAGGTGAGTGCTACTTGTCTGGGTTAAAACAGTTTTCTATGTGAGACCTCACAGTATTATAATAAACACACATGCAACAAAAATAAATACATGGTTCTACACAGTTTGTCCATCATACCGTATGGTTTCATATATTGCCATATATTATGCTATGGCCATATACCTGCAGTACATCCCAGCATACTCAGGTTAGTGTATGGTAGTGAGAAAACTGATCTAGCAGGAAAGTAGAAAGAACAGAGTGAACAGAGGTAAGCTGAAGGGAAAAGACAGTGACAGAAAGAGATACAGCAGAGGAAGAAAAATATCATATGAGGAAAATGTGCATGATCTGAAGATGTATTAGAAGAATAAGACTGAAACGAGAGAAGAAAACAGAAAGTTACTCTGGAATTTCTCCAATAATAATGCTTGCTACCTGAATGGCTACAAAAATAATAAACACATCACCCAAATGATTATTAGGCTGGAACTATCAGTACAATTTGCAGACCTAAACAATTCACTTTTCACTTGTGAAAAATTTCCCTGGGATACAGGCTGCTTTCTGCTGCCATTAGCACCATCGTGGCTGCCTGTTGCTTACTCTTGCAGTGAACAGGTTATGCCACATAGGCTCTGCAATCGGTGAGGTCCCTACATCCCTTCAGATTGCTTATGTGATCTGGCATTATGTACCAATGCATGGTCCAAGGTTAGGATATGTCTGGGAACATATACATCCTCAGGCTTAGATCTAAATTCTGCTTACCGAAAGGGAGAATTGAGCCCTGTGTATCTGAACATCTGGAGGCACAGCCACAGACTGATTGTGGAATAGTCACACAGGCTTGAGAATACAACAGCCTCCTCTCTCTCTCGTCACCTTCATGCATGTTTTTTCCTGACTTATACAAACATGTAGGAATGAATAAACTGTGAAAAGTGGCCAGGAGATCTTGCTTTGCTGGGGGCTCTGATGTGACCTCCAGAATGTTATGTCACCCTGATTTCAAGCTTCCCCATCCTTAAAACTGTAGCCTTCTCTATCTTCTTAGTGTCCATCTTGTTTTTTTAATTGTTGTTGGTTTTCTTTTGTTCATAAGGAATGAAAGCAATTTAGATTCTTTAACATACCCTTCAAAAAAAAATCCACCCCAGAACCCCTTACCCAAACTGCAAAACCAAAGGGGATCTTGAGTTAAGACAGCCATCAAGCCAGTGCAACTTGGGTTGGCTACAGTAGTTAAAATTTACAGACAAGATCATAGTTGAACAAAAGATGTTTATACTGAGTTCTGTCTGGAATCTGTCTTCACTGTTATTTTAGGTACATGCCAACGTAAGTTCATCATATGCCACCTTCTGGTGCATAAATGTAACTTTTATCTTTTGGGCAATGATAAAAAAGTGATAAATGATGTATGCATGCAACTTTGACTTCGATAAGGAGAAATAAATTAAAGTATATTAATCTAAGTAATCTAGCATCTTCTAATACTAGACTGGTTTAACCTGCACACTGGGGAATAGAAATAAAGCATAGATGCAGTCATGATACTCCTTCCCTATATAAGTAAGGTTCATATAAGTTCAAGACTTTGAACTCAGGACTTATGTGCCTCTGAGTATGTGGCCACTAGCATGACTGGTCGTAGACCTGCTGTGAGGTCCACTTGTGCTGACTGCAAGGCTCAGCAGAGGGGAAATGCTGACAGAGGTTTTGCATTTTACCATTTAGATATGTGTGGCTTCTAGGCTACACCGAGGCCAGCAAGGAGATTTTGGAATCAATTCACTCAGACTCCATTTTTACTGTCATGAAAAATTATAGTACTGCTGCTCACAGAGGATGAGCCATTAAGAGTAGAATAAAAAGAGGATGGTTACATGATGTTCTTCCTTATGGTTCTCAGCAACATTCACTTTTAGTTTTTCAGTGTCATGAGAGTGCCTGAATCATGGCTGGTATTTTGCAGGTCCTGCTTTGACACACATGTGGCCTTGCAAACAAACGTGGGCTTTCCGTTAAGGAAGCATTCATTTACTCACAAGCATGCCGCTCTAAGAAAAGTTTTAGCCCCCACATGCTGCAAAATGTGATCACCCTATGGCTATAAGGAAGACTCATTATCGTTTCTTGAGATTACAGCAACAAGGGGGTCCATTCATATTCTTAGGAAGAATTACGAGGAATACCATCTTTCAGTGGTGCTGAAAAGCAATTTAAAAGGACAATAATTCTACTCCATCTTGCTAAATACTGTAATATCTGGTGTTTCTGTCTGAAGGTTAACTCATGCAACCACATGACTACCCATGACCTTTATCTTCCTCTGTAAAAGTAGTCTTTCATCAGCATGGTTAAAGATCTAAAGCTATAAAATCTGAATCCCCGGGCAAGATGGCAAATAGAGAAGAACTCTAAGTTATAACATATTTTAAATAAATCTTGTGACTTTGAGTCATCTTTGAATGGATGGCACTTGGTTAATGTGGCATCTCCTAACTTCTCCTTAAGCTCTGCTGATAATCTCAGTGCCCAAATACGAATTTTACAGGCAATATCATTTTAAGAGAATTGTGTGGAAAAGATGGTTCCTTCCAGCATGCTTGCATAGGAGCTGGCAGTAGAAGGCCTCATTTCCAATCGCACTCTGCAGAGTTGTAAATGCCATTTGAGTAAACATAACAACAGAAATTGCATCAAGTATCTTTTTTCCATCTCATTGTTTTTATTTTACTTCATGAGGAACTGCTGTGTATAGAACAGAGTAACTACTGCAGTGGATGGCCTGCTGCTCAAATAACGCAGGGCGAGATCCAGAAACTCTGGATTTCTACATTCAGCTCTGCAAGACTTGAAATGTGGCTCCGATGAAAGCAGCCAAACTATATTCCTTAGTTATGACTACTATTAATATCTAGTGTCGCAGCATAGCTCGTGAGACACTTGGATTCAGACCCCTATAATATGACATACTGCAGAAATGCAGAATAGGAAGACTGGTTGAGCCCCCAGGGTGCTTATTACCGAATGTCACACAGTCATTTTTGGATCCTCATTGGCACACATTATGCCAGTTTTCAGAAGTCCCAAGGGGAAATAGCTCTCAGCAATAAGAACCGGGGCTGCAGGTCCTCAGCATCCCTCAATATGAGGCTTAAGAAGTGAACACATTCTAAGATCCTGTGGCCAGAGTTTCTGGTTGGCAATAATTTGTTTATGGCATACAGTCTGCCAGCAGCAAACCAAGTTGTTTTAATAGGGCCTAGAAAATCTCCCAGATATTGAAGCTCACAGCATTAGCAAACATTCTGAAAATGTTGGTAGCTGTCCTTGTGCTCATCAGAATGTGAAGCAGAACTCATCTACGTTCTCCAAAGGGTTCATTAATCATTGCTCAGTCTTTACAGTTAGTACGATTTGATCAACATGCCTTAGGAACGCTAATAAGAAATGTATGAATGGCCAAGTTTTTCTCAGTTAAAGTACCCCACGTACTATCCAGGCCATTATAATGAAACAACAGCAAACATGAACAACACAAAAAAACCAACCAAACAAACAAACAAAAAGAAAAGCAGCGTGAGTCCCAAACTGCTGCTATTTATTTTCATGCCAGCACTAAGCAGTGCAACCATTCACTAAAGTTGGGGTGCGAAGGCTTTTACCAACTCTGCACAACATAAAGTAAGAAGCAGAGAGTATCATTACAGAGTCATTTCCTAATGGGAAGATAAGTGATTACCACAATTTCCCAAGGGCTGATGTATAAAGTACATCAATGAACCTGGAGTCCTGAAATCCTATTCAGTGCCTAATACAGATGTATTTTGGCAAAACTCCACTGAAGTCAACTAGAACTTCAGTTCAAAGACATGTTTTAACACAAGCAAACCAGCTATGTTAACCCTCTTTTCCTTCAATAAGGCACTCCTCTTATTTGCAAAAAGAAGTTTGGGCTCCACTCTTCCTGGATCCTCCCATGATGAGTCTGGGACCTACTGGAGGCTTTGAATTCAGTTACTGAATTTGTGTCCTTTTCCTTTTTCTTTCTTTCATTTAGGACTCCAAGCCTGTCTGAGATTGTGTTCCAGTTAATTTTGTTTCATTTTTTGTTGGTGCACAGAAAAGAGGCCAGCATTTCTTGTTTGAATGCTGGGTATTTTGCTTCTGATCGCTTTAGCCTCAGATTTTCTCAGGTGCACTCAATTTTTTATGTATTTTAATCCCTCACATTACAATGCCAACATACCACTGCAGTACAGGCACATGAAATGGCTGTTTCTGTAGCTGATCCTCCTTCACAGATGCTCAGCAAACACTGCAACTGAAGAACTGGAGTTTGCATGATGGTCCAAATGCCTTGCCAAGAGCTT